ATATGTTTAACCTAGAGTGTAAGTATGGGATTGTATGTTATTGTATAACTGTTTTTGTGTGTTTTGATCCTGGTTGTTTTTTTGGAGAAAAGCACTTTAGCTTTTCCCCTGCAAAACAACTTATAAAGAGGGGAGGTGTTACATACAGCACTGATGGTACCTGTCTGTCATGGGTTTGGAGGGAAAGTTCCATCCTATGGGGAGTGGAAGGCGGGACATCAGGGGGAGGAGCTGTACTGTATATATATTTGGAACTGATGTGGAGAGTGAGGAGTTGGAGTCTGTGTGTCAGACTGAGTACAACTGTGTGTCAGTTGGTACATACCTGATAGGTTCAGGTTTCTTTATAGGTAGCCAGAACTGATAGGTTCAGGGTCTGTGCTTTACTTTAAAGTGTTCTGTGTGAACCAAACTGTTGTATGTATGATTGAGACTAAGCCACGTTACTGTATCTTATTCACTTGATCATTTTATTTTCCCTGTTTGTTATTTAAATAAACCTTGTTCTTTTGTTTGTTAAAAATCCATTCCTGGTCTGTGTGACTTCTTATAGGGAATGGTTGGTGGCAGCTTAATTATAGTGTGGCATACTCCAGTTGGTCTGGGGTTGTCACACCATGGGTCCAAAGAAGATGGAAGACTAGCCTTAATGTAATCCAGCACCAATCTCTCAAAACATTTCATAATAACAGATGTTAAAGCTACTGGTCTATAATCATTGAGAGATACCACAGCTGACTGCTTGGGGACTGGCACTATAATAGATGTCTTCAGGCAAGTGGGGACAGAACACTGCAACAAGGATAGATTGAAAATATCCATAAAAACTCCAGCTAATTCTGCAGCACAGCCCCTAACAACTCGTCCCATGATTCCATCTGGTCCAGCTGCCTTTTGAACGTTAATATTCTGAAAAGCATGCTGCAGTCTTGCCAATGAATCCCAACCTCTGAGTCTCGTGCCTTACGTATCAGCAGTAGTTGTGAAAAGATATGCAAACGGACGCATGGCTTTCCTTTGTAACCTTAAGAGAAGTGCCCTTGTGGCAGCTGCACAGGAGACTATCATTTGAAGAAGGCAAGTTATTTTAAATCTACCAGAGGGTTAGGAGCGTTTGATGCCAGGCTGAAAAGTTGAGTGGCCAAAAGAGACATGATTTAAGTCTGCAGTTATCAAATGTGACAGTTTGATTGATTGGTGCTAGCCTCGTCCCCTGAGAAGAGCAGCATTGCCTCATCAATCCAGCCAGTTACATGCCGTAAAATGCTTGTAAAATCTGTGTGCTGAAGGATGTAGCAACTGAAGCTGGGTGAAAAAGGGGAGAAAGTGAAATAACAATGCTCTTAACTTTTTTAGTAACAAAAGCTTTTTTCCCTATTTTCTGTGTCTCCACAATCATATCCTTACATTTTAGAAACTTTCCACATGCTCTTGAATTTAAGATCATAGGCTATGCCAGAGAACAGAAGAGGATTTGGGGGGATGTGGTGTCTTGTATTCATGTAAAATAACATGAATCTATTGTTATTGTGTTGAATCAATTAATCATTTCAAGTTTTATGATCCCAGTGCATCATTGTGTCTTAAAAATTTCAATGAATTAGTATGAGATTTCTCAACCACCACCCCCTTTTGTGGCAAATGATAGAGCAATTATTCATTCAATTACTTGGGTTCACTTTTTTCTTTTCATTGTGTCTGAATCTGAATCTAATGTGAAGAATAATCACAATGATAATGGTGTAAAATTAAAACCAGGCAATGCACCTACTCATATGCAGGTTCTTGTCACCCCAATAAACCACCAGTCAGCACACTGAAAGGTGAAAATCTGCTGGTTTCTACTGGCATAGAATATATCGTCAAGAAACAGCTGAGAAACATGACAAGCACTGGAATGGCTCATTGTGTGTTAAGTCAGCATTTAGCTGTCATTTCAAGGGTGGCATTGTTAAAATCCGTGGTTTGTACTAGTTAGACGTCAGGTGTAGACACAGAAGTGAGTTCCATTCATAACCTCTGGCAAATACTAGGTGGTATTTTGATGACAGTGAAGTGCTCATGTTCCATACTTCTCCAAGAGAAATTAAAGTGCTAATTAAAGGCTGTAGTAAAGTTTTAACTGATCCGTCTCCATAGTGCTGCAGGGAGCCAGACGGGAAGAAGTAGCACTAATCACATAGAAATGTATGTCCTATTTTAACAGCAGGAACAGCATCTAAATAAAGCACTGTGATTCTTCCCTTTTCCTGTTGCTTTCTGTACAGCTTTTTCTTCCAAGCGTTTTTGTGCATCCAGTGTCTCTCAGGATATTTGTAATACCTCTTCCCTAAATCCTCCAGTAAGCATGGGGGATTCTGGGAGAGAAAATCCAAAATTGTAACTATTCCAAGGGAGGAACTGCTTGGGAGGAATAGCGATTAAGTCCCTTTTTCATGCTTCAGAGTTTTGCAGGTGAGGCCTAGGATCTGAATCTCCTGACTTATGTGTCAAAAATAGATACACCAATCAATGCCTGGTTTTTCTTTGTAAACTTTAGGAAATACACTTGTACGCTCAATTGAGTGGCACACACATAACATTCCCCAAACACTCCGCTCAATTGAGTGCCCAAGAAGAGGATTAACATGATGTCAGTGGGAACATTCCATACTACTATCCCACTTTTTCTTTCTGTGTAGTTCGGAGTAGTATCTCATTAAACACATGGAATTGCTTTCATTGGCTGCTCTGGCTTCTAAATCTTAGTGGTGTTTGCATGCATAATTTTGCAGTGAGCCCATCCAGTTGGATGAGCATCATTTTGCTGTGAATGTGGAGTGCTTAATTCTTAAACTGTATCCTTACTTACTTACTTACTTACTCACTCACTCACTCACTCACTCACTCACTCACTCACTCACTCACTCACTCACTCACTCACTCACTCACTCACTCACTCACTTACTTACTCACTTACTCACTTACTTACTTACTTACTTACTTACTTACTTACTTACTTACTTACTTACTTACTTACTTACTTTCTTACTTACTCATTCAAATTGTATGCCGCCCACACTACCCAAAGGTCTCTGGGCAGCTTACAACATTTAAAATACAATAAAAAGTCTAAACAATTAAAATGCAATTAAAATATAAACTCTAAAAATTGCCGTGATAGCTACCACTTAGTCCCGCTCCTCCGTATGCTGTCTGTAGCTCCCTTTAAATGTTTAAAGGGAGTTTCCTTAAAGCATAGCTAATTTTGGACCATCACTGCAATTTTCAGTAGCTCTTTAAAGCCAAGAGTTTGGTGTGTACAGTAGCATTACAGCAGCTTGCTTTACTGGGAAACGGGCACTAAATGATACATGGAATCTAAGCTGAAGAGCTTGGAAATGTGCTGGATGGCAGATTCTGGAATCTTTAGTTTAAGAAAAGGAACTTTTCCAAGCCTTGCCCAGGTGTGTACTGCCAAATTCATTTCACAGACTTTGGAGCGTCAAGCTGACCTACATTTCTGAAAGAGGAGCTGGAATGTCGATTATTTGAAGCAGGGGTGTGTGCATTCATGCCTATTTGTATAGCTAAAAAGACAGAAAGATAACTTTGGGCTTTCTTATGTCTTATCACTGAAAAGAGAAAGGTTCCCATATTCTGTGGCTGGAGGTAAGACGTCTATATTTCAGCTTACAAGAAAAAAAAAGTCAGATGTTGCCCAGTTCAGAGCTGCTGCCATCTGTTCAAAGCCTGTGAGAAAAGAGTTGAAGGTCTCGGTTTAACTTCTATTGCTCAAATACCGCAAAAATACCATAAGATTTGGCATTAGAGTAAGGGAAATTTTAACAGCCTACTGTGAAGTGTTACTAAATAAGCATTCAAGTCTGAATTGCTTGGAACTTGAGCCTCCATAAATGGAGAAAAGTGTGCAGCTTAAATTA